TCTCCGCCTGTCTTCAAGGCGCGTTACGTTGCACGAGGCTTCAGTCAGCGACAGGGAGTTGACTTCTTCCAGACCTTCTCCCCTACCCCGAAGATGACTACTCGTCGGGTGCTGCTGCACGTCGCCGCTCAGCGTGACTACGAGCTTCACTCTCTTGACTTCAGCACAGCCTTCCTACAGGGCAGCCTGCACGAGGAGATCTGGTTGCGCCGCCCACCTGGCTTCACTGGGTCGTTTCCTGCAGGTACCCAGTGGAGCCTCCGGCGGCAAGTCTACGGTCTCCGCCAGGCGCCTCGCGAGTGGCACGACACACTGAGGACGACGCTTGCGGCTCTTGGGTTTGCTCCTTCGACTGCTGACCCGTCGCTGTTTCTACGCACCGACACTTCTCTGCCGCCGTTCTACATCCTCGTGTACGTTGACGACTTGGTCTTTGCCACTGCTGACACTGCTGGACTGGCCTTTGTGAAGTCGGAGCTGCAGAAGAGACACACGTGCACAGACCTGGGTGAGCTGCGCAGCTATCTTGGCTTGCAGATCACCCGGGACAGAGCACAGCGCACCATTACCTTGACTTAGTCACACATGGTGCAGCAGGTCCTTCAGCGCTTCCGCTTCACGTACTCCTCGCCACAGTCCACTCCTCTGCCTACCGGTCACTCGCTCTCAGCTCTGCCTTCGGATGAGTCCGTAGAGCCGAGTGGCCCGTATCCGGAGCTTGTGGGCTGCCTCATGTACCTGATGACCTGCACTCGACCTGGCCTTGCTTACCCTCTTAGCATCCTGGCACGCTACGTTGCGCCCGGGAGACATCGACCAGAGCACTGGGAGGCCGCTAAGAGGGTGATGCGCTACTTGTGCAGTACGTCAGGCATGGGGCTCGTGCTTGGAGGACGGGCTCGAGTTGTCCTCACTGGTCACGCAGACGCTTCTTGGGTTGACGACTTGGCTACGCAGCGGTCGTCACAGGGTTACACTTTCAGCCTTGGCTCCGGCTCTGTTTCGTGGCGGTCTACCCGCTCGTCTTCTGTTCTCAGTTCCAGTTGTGAGGCTGAGATCTACGCAGGGGCCATGGCTGCACAGGAGTTACGCTGGCTCACCTACCTGCTGACCGACTTGGGAGAGCCGCCTCGTTCTCCTCCAGTGCTGTACGTCGACAACAAGGCCATGATTGCCTTGTGTCAGGAGCACAGACTGGAGCATAGAACGAAGCACATCGCTCTGCGCTACTTCCTTGCTCGAGAGTTGCAGCAGCGTGGTCAGCATCGTCTTGCTTACGTGGCCTCTCGGGCCAACACTGCTGATATCTTCACCAAGGCACTTCAGCCTTGTGATCATCAGCGTTTCTGTACTGTTCTAGGCCTTGTGCCTACTTGGCCTCACTTGCTCACTTCTTGACTTTGCTTGTACTGTGATCTATATACTTATACCTGCATGCTTACACTTGCTAGGTTGTGATCACTGTACTGCTTGTTCTCTTTTATATAACTCTGCATGTGAACTGGCCTTGTGGCCATTTGCTTGTGCTCAGAATGCATGGTGACTTCGTGATCCACCCTGAGCTTGCTTTGCTTTTCTTGACCGGTCTTGTGACCTCTTGTTCTCACCCAATTTGCCTATGGGGGTGTGTCAAACTTATATGCTGCTTATCGTGTAGGCTATAGTGGGGTAGCCCATATGGGGTACAACCCAATTAGGGTTTGCTACTTGTACCCATCTTGCTGCTAGTTCATTCATTCTCGCTTACTGATTCTGACACATCAAATCATCGCCGACGCACTCACACGCCCCACCGCCCAACTCCACGCCATCCTACTCGCCCAAACCAACCCGCTGTTAACAAGCCTATTCTCCCACGAATACAGTACGGACCCATTTTTCACGACCGGGAATTCACAGCAACTGGCAGAAGCTAAAGGAGTCTATTATGTAAAGACAGGCACCAACCGCATTTGGGTACCCGCGTACTCACTACTAAGGGAACTGTTACTGCAGGAGGCACACGACGGGATTACCTCGGGCCACCTCGGGGTAGAAAAAACACGACAGCAACTACAGCGGTACTACTACTGGCCGGAGCTGTTGACCGACGTACAGCACCACGTGGGCTCGTGTCCTACGTGTCAGGTGATGAAGAGCTCGCGAAAAAGAAAGGTGGGTCAGTTGCAGCCGATTCCACCGCCCGAGCGCGCCTGGCAGCAGGTTACCATGGATTTCGTCAGAGGGTTACCTTCGAACCCTGGGAGTAACGACGCGGTAATGGTCGTCGTTGACAGACTGACGAAAATGGCTCACTTCGCTGCGTGCAGAAAATCGATCTCACCCGAAGAAACCGCTCGTCTGTTCATCGCAACCGTCGTTCGACTACACGGGATACCAGCCGCGATCATCAGCGGCCGCGATACGAAGTTCACGAGCAACTTCTGGAAGAACCTCTGGGAGCAGTTCGGGACCAGGCTACAGTTCAGTTCATCGTACCACCCCGAGACCGACGGTCAAACGGAGCGGACCAATCAGACGATGGAGCAGTTGATTCGGGCCACGTGCGACGACTCGACAACTTGGGAGCAGCAGCTGCCGCTGATCGAGTTCGCCTACAACAACGCCACGTCAGCGACGACGCATCAGTCCCCGTTCTACCTGAACTATGGGCAAAATCCAACAGTACCCATGACGCCGAGTCCGGACAACCCAACGCCACACGCACAGCAATTCGCCGAGATTCTGCAAGCTGCCCGCACCAGAACCGCCGAAGCAATTAAAAAAGCCAACGTCATCGCAAAACGCAACGCTGACTGCCACCGCCGCCCAGTCACGTACCAGCTCGACATGCATAACTTAAGACTGCCCGTCGCGCCAAAATTACGACCGCGCACCGTGGACCATTCCAAATCAGCCACATGATCACCCCAGTTACCGTCACCCCCCGGATAAGCCCCCATGGGGGGTATAATAAAACATGGTTTTTTAGGGGGGTGGGCTTATAATTGAGTAAATTTATAAGCGCCGGGGCTTATATAATGACATATATGAAATTTACTGTTTTTTACATCAAAGTGTTCATCTCGTTTGAATCGAGTCAAAATTAGCGAGGGCTGTGAATGAGACTCTCGCGTAAGTTGGCAGGGATAGATTCCGTGCCAACACACACAGTCAGAATGAGTCATGTTTTCTCCATGACAGGTCATTCTGACTAGACGCGCACGAAGTGAGTCGCTCGAGGGTGAAGGCCATCGAAATTCGGGACACAAACTGTGTGTTTCGTTACAGATGTTTCATTAAAAATATAAAAAACAATACAGATTAAGGCGCTTATACTCTATAAGCCATCAGGGGTGTGCTTATAATCGAGGACCGGATATAAGCACCATATGCCAATTATAAGCGCCTGGCGCTTATCCTAGGGTGGCGCTTATATCCGGGAGGTGACGGTACCGCCCACTTACTGTTGCCGACCGACTGGTACATCAGCCCGTCATTCCACGTCAGCCTGCTTCACCCATACATCCCAACCACGAGCCAACTGCCTCGTCACCGCCCGCCATCCATGACTCGCCCTGCATCGGAGCCGATCATCGAGCCCGAAAAAATTCTGAGCCATCGGATTCGTCATCCCACAGGCATCAAGAGGATCGAGTTCCTCGTTCGCTGGAAGGACCGCACGCAGGGTCCTCGCTAGGATTTGAACCCCCCTGATGCGTCAGACGGGCCCTTCGGGCCCGTCTGATGCATCAGATATTTTGCCTTTGCGTGTTTGATGCATCAGAAATTTCCAAAGAACTTGTCTGACCAATTAAAATAGAGTTTCTAGCGTGTAGATGCACGTAGGATAAAAAGTTGAGTCTGACTTTTCTTGACCTGTCACATTCATTCGAAGTACACACTGGTGTGATTCGGACTTCACTGGTCTCAGCAAATTCGCCCTAACAAGGCAGATTCTCCCTGTCAAAGCACAAAATATTCGCCCAATCAGAGATAATTCGATCTGACACGGCAGATTCGCGACGTCAAAGCACAACATGTTCGTCCAATCACATAAAACGCGTCCTGACACAAGAGATTCGACCTTACACAACACAACAGATTCGCTTTGACAACAGATTCGCCCTGTCAGAGCATGTTCTGCGGGAAATCCCCGTACTCTAACATGTTTCGGTTTCAGACGAAACATAGACTACACTTCTGATGAATCAGATGAAGACAAACAAGGCTCGACGATGAACGTCGTAACGGTTGCGTAGACGCTGATATCATACTCAAGATAAATGCAACACCGTTATATATATCCGTACCCTTCTTCCACCCTCTACAGCCGTTTTTGTTTTTTATGTATTGCATTCTATCTCACACCTAATGCCCAATCATGTGGAATTTCGACTGAAGAATATAAGCACGTACTATGTGGTTACTTTTGGTGTATATGAGTGATTTACGACTCCACTATTATGGGGTATTATGGGGAACGTGCGTTTCGCTTTTCGCTTTCGTCGAGTTTTCTGGAGCTGACGCAAACTGCACATGAAATCTAGTGTATCAGCTGAGTCAGCTGAATCTCATGTGCTCACATATGTGAAACCACCTCAATAACCCAACCCAACCCAAGAACCAAGAAACCAGTTCTTTCCACTCACGCTAGTATCACGCTAGTACCTCATGCTACCGCTAGTACCTCACGGAGTACCCCACACTAGTGCCTCACGCTGGTATGAACCTCAGCTCCTTATCCTGTAACAAGCGCCCATGACCATGAAACCGCTCGTGGAAAACGCCCCTGACAAGCGCCCGTGACAAACGGCATGTTTCGTGAGTACAAGAGTGATATTCGCCTTGCTGCAGCGCGCTGCCAGCCCCTTGCTGAGGCAGCGCGCCGACGCCTAGCAGCGCGCTGGCGCCTTGGCCGTCTAGGCGTCTAAGTGCGTTAGGTGCTAGGTACCAGCGCACTCTAGCACCCAGCGCGCTCCTGCAGGCTGGAGCTGCCGCCGGCGCTGGCGCCTAGCGCGATGGCGCATTGCGCGCTGGCGCCTAACGCGCTGGCGCCAAACGCGCTGGCGCCAAACGCGCTGGCGCCTAACGCGCTGGCGCCTAACGCGCTGGCGCCTAACGCGCTGGCGCCTAACGCGCTGGCGCCATACGCGCTGGCGCCAATTACGCTGGCGCCATACGCGCTGGCGCCTTACGCGCTGGCGCCTTACGCGATGGCGCCTTACGCGCTGGCGCCAAACGCGCTGGCGCCAAACGCGCTGGCGCCAAACGCGCTGGCGCCATACGCGCTGGCGCCATACGCGCTGGCGCCAAACGCGCTGGCGCCAAACGCGCTGGCGCCAAACGCGCTGGCGCCTAACGCGCTGGCGCCTAACGCGCTGGCGCCTAACGCGCTGGCGCCATACGCGCTGGCGCCAAACGCGCTGGCGCCATACGCGCTGGCGCCATACGCGCTGGCGCCTTACGCGCTGGCGCCTTACGCGCTGGCGCCTTACGCGATGGCGCCTTACGCGCTGGCGCCAAACGCGCTGGCGCCAAACGCGCTGGCGCCAAACGCGCTGGCGCCATACGCGCTGGCGCCATACGCGCTGGCGCCATACGCGCTGGCGCCATACGCGCTGGCGGCTTGTGCGCTTCTGCCTTGTTGCGGCAGAGCGCTGACTAATTATTGCGCACGCTCAAGCGTTGCTGCAGTGAGCTCACGCCTTGCTGCAGTGAGCGCACGCCTTGCTGCAGTGAGCTCACGCCTTGCTGCAGTGAGCTCACGCCTTGCTGCAGTGAGCTCACGCCTTGCTGCAGTGAGCTCACGCCTTGCTGCAGTGAGCTCACGCCTTGCTGCAGTGAGCTCACGCGTTGCTGCAGTGAGCTCACGCGTTGCTGCAGTGAGCTCACGCGTTGCTGCAGTGAGCTCACGCCTTGCTGCAGTGAGCTCACGCGTTGCTGCAGTGAGCTCACGCCTTGCTGCAGTGAGCTCACGCGTTGCTGCAGTGAGCTCACGCGTTCCTGCAGTGAGCTCACGCCTTGCTGCAGTGAGCTCACGCCTTGCTGCAGTGAGCTCACGCCTTGCTGCAGTGAGCTCACGCGTTGCTGCAGTGAGCTCACGCCTTGCTGCAGTGAGCTCACGCCTTGCTGCAGTGAGCTCACGCGTTGCTGCAGTGAGCTCACGCGTTGCTGCAGTGAGCTCACGCCTTGCTGCAGTGAGCTCAGGCGTTGCTGCAGTGAGCTCACGCGTTGCTGCAGTGAGCTCACGCCTTGCTGCAGTGAGCTCACGCCTTGCTGCAGTGAGCTCACGCGTTGCTGCAGTGAGCTCACGCGTTGCTGCAGTGAGCTCACGCCTTGCTGCAGTGAGCTCACGCGTTGCTGCAGTGAGCTCACGCCTTGCTGCAGTGAGCTCACGCCTTGCTGCAGTGAGCTCACGCGTTGCTGCAGTGGGCTCACGCATTGCTGCAGTGAGCTCACGCCTTGCTGCAGTGAGCTCACGCCTTGCTGCAGTGAGCTCACGCGTTGCTGCAGTGAGCTCACGCATTGCTGCAGTGAGCTCACGCCTTGCTGCAGTGAGCTCACGCCTTGCTACGGCAGCCCGCTTGCTCCTCTGCCGGTGCCTTGCTGCAACTCTCTGGCGCCTTGTAGCATGGCGATGCCCAGCTCGTTGCACCAATGCACCTTGCTCGCTGGAGCCTTGCTGCACACCAGCGTGGTGTGTGTGACCCCAGGGAATCTATGCTTCAAACCACGCTTGTGAGTCGTCAAATTCGGTTTTCTTTTGTACTTATCATATTTCAACCCATACTTGGTTTTGAAGTTCCATTTTACGATCAAGTGCGTGCTCCTCATTGAATAATTCACTCCGTTTTCCGACTACAATTCATTTTCTACTTGACCTGTTTTTTTTGCAAGGTGTGCGAGACGCGTTGTGGGGAGCAGGGAGGGGAATTCGAGAGAGAAGACAATGTGGAAAAGGGTGGGAGGAGATTTTGATGGTAGAGGGAGAGGAAGGAAGGCGGAAAGGGGGAGGAAGGGGGGACAAGGTAGCAGTGATTGATACATAATTGACTTATTGCAACTCTTTTTTATGCTTGTCTGCTGTCAATCCTATTTGTGTATGTATGTGTGTGCAGTGCGGGTGTGTTTGTGCGGGTGTGTGTTCATGTCTTCTCATTGTGTTTGTTTCACTGTGGGGTTGCACTTCGATGCGTTCGGTTACGTGGGTTATACTTTTTTTTACGTGCGTTTGCATTCGTGTTTGTGGTATGTGTGTTTCAAAGTGTGGTGTTAGTATGTGTTATGTATGCAATTAGAGGTTGTTAATCGTCTTTGGGGCAGCGTGTTTTCGCTGTTTCAACGACCCCATCAACCCCGGTTACTGCATGATGCATTTTAACATTCAATTTGAAGCATCCACTCCACCTCATACCTTGTTGTTCATCTGTACAATTGAATTCGTTCATGTTGATGCCAGAATGTTATGCTCGGCCGTACAATCCGCCGTATTTATCGACGAGGTTGGGACGGTCGAGCAACTTCATGGTTTCAACATGATACGTACGTGCGTACCGGTATTTGGTTTTACATATGGGGCTCTCATTCAAGAGTGTTTTTTATCCACTATTTGAGGCATCCGTTTGAACACAGATTCAAAACATTCAAACCGGTGCTCCAAAAAGTGCGTAAATATCACTCTTCAAATGATATCCCCAAAATGCAAAACCAAATATAAAGGGTTGCTACGCAACCCAAAAATCATTTCTACTCAATCAGATGAAAAGAAAATCCATTTCTTGAAAATCAGATTAACTGGAAAAAAACCGTCTGGAAACTCAGACAAACAGACAAAAATGTCTGATAGCGAGGACCCTGACGTAGAGTGTTCTGCTGCTGAGCGTCTGAGCGGGATGGTTTGACCCGATCCGTTTCTCTTAAAACCCGAAGCCTGAATTACAAAAAAAGTTGGGAGGTGTTAACACTTTCCCTCCCGAACCAGGGTGGTTACCAGTTGTTCACCTGCAAAACGTGATGAAGTCGCAGTCAGCACAGGGAAGTGTCGCTCGGGAAGTGCGCAACCACTCTGGGCGTTGGTGTGCACACCAAATTGGAAACCTGTAATTCAGGTCGTTCGAAATAGCTTAGGTGTGCACACCCCTTGTCGAGTTGTTTGCCTGTTGGCGAAAACATGGCGTCGCACTTTGTTTTCGCTGAGCAAGGAGCTTTCGAGGTTGCCCCGAACCTCAGTTTGCTTGGCCCCCCTTCATCCCAAACCTAGAGTTGACTCGCATATGTAATTCAGGCTTCGGGTTTTAACCGCACTTGCTGCCTGCATGCGTGCTGCACTGCCCCGGTGTCGCTCGTATTCATTACGGCCACCCACGGTCCCCTACCCCAAGTCCCCGACCGAACCGAACCCCCGGTAGCGCGCGAGGGAGACGATAAGATCCTCTCCTGTATTTGGTCTCTTCAAGAGAAGTTTTCACAACCGTCGCCCAGGGATGCCCAGTCGAGAAAGGAGAAGCATAAGATCCCCTCCCGCCGCTTCCTCACCTCCTCATTTCCCGTTTTCTTCTCGGGAGTTTCCTTCGCCTGTGCCTCGTCACAGCGCTTCCCTTTCGCTCTTCTCACGACCTGTCACGGAAACCCGACCTGCCTGCATCGCGTAGCGCTAGCACTAGACGTATAGGCTCTTAGAAAAGCTTCAACGAGTAGCTGCTTCGGCTTTCAGTGGAAACCTCAACTAGTAACTTCAACTGGTACTAGTACTGCCGCTGTGCACCTCCAACGGTATTAACGTTTAATCCCTGGAGGGCTCATTTACACTCAACGCTTTTGTCGTCCACGCCCGCTCTCCCCCTCCGCACGGCACTCTCCCCCTTCGCACGGCGCTTATCTCCACGTGAAACCTCCGTCACCTGCTGCCGCCAGTGCAATCTTCCTGTGCTGCGAAGCTCCAGGGCCGCACACCCCCAGGGTGACTTCGTCTCTACCACTCCCCACTTCCCCTTTCCTGGCGAGCGGCCAGTGGGAGAGGGAAGGAGCGCTTTCGAGAATGAAGCTCGCCCTCCTTGGAACGACAGTTTGCAATCGGGGCAGAAGCAGCAGCAGCAGCAGCAGCAGCAGCAGCAGCAGCAGCAGCAGCAGCAGCAGCAGCAGCAGCAGCAGCAGCAGCAGCAGCAGCAGCAGCAGCAGCAGCAGCAGCAGCGGCGGAAGCAGCAGCAGCAGCAGCATCGGCGGCGGCGGCGGCGGCGGTGGCAGTGGTGGCTTGAGTGACACGAAGCACAAGATTAAGAGTGGAAGCCAAAGCAGCAGCAGCAGCAGCAGCGACTCAGACATTGCCTTTGAGACTGCCGGGAATCACCTCCTGCCTCTCAAGTTCCAGTTCCACACTGGTAACCACACTTGTAACCAGGCTGCTAACGAGGCTGCTAACGACGCTGGTAACGACGCTGGTAACCACACAGGGGCTTCTATTGGTCCCTGCCACCCGTTCTACCGCCACCTCGGCAGGAGCTGCCGTCCTGACGGCAGTCCCAGGCACTTGCACGCGCCCTGCTCTCTGCACCGCCCTGCCAGGGCCCATCCGACGGTCGCCATGCCTCCGCCACTTCATCTGGACGGCTCTCCCTGCGTCTCCCCACCCACTGCGCTTGCCTGGGATGGGCTTGGACCAGCAGCAACGACAGCAGAGGCAGCAGCAGCAGCAACGGAAGGAGTGGGAAGGCTGACGAGCAGCCCACGGCACGTGAAGAGACCCCGGGGGCGCAGCAGGCTGCAGTGTGCGGTGCTGCTGCCAGGGTTGAAGGATGCTCACGCTGCAGCGGACGTAGAGTGTTCGGCTGCTGCTCACTCCACTGTCAGCGCTGCTGCCGCTGTTGCTGCTACTGCTGGTGCTGCTGAAGGCGACATGGATTGGTCAAACAACACGACGACGAAGAAGCAGAAGAGAGAGGGTCCGACAGCTGGTTGTGGAGTGAGGCGCATGCTGCGGTTGAGTCTGCACGAAGGGGAGCACCGCGAGGAGGGCGGGGAGCTGCAGCTGCAGCCGCAACAGCAACAGCAAGAGCAACAGCAGGGCTCCAGCTCTGCCGGTTCTGGCTCCGCCTGCATTACTCTTGGCCCCACGCTGATGTACCAAGCTGTTCCTGCTGCAGGCAACGCTTCTGAGGGTGAGTGAGTCGCTGCTAGCAGTCAGCAGCTAGTAGTTGGTTAGCAGCTTGCGGGTTGCAAGTGTTCTGGTTCTTCTTATGACTCACAAGTGGTTGCCACCTCCTTCTCAGCTGCCATTTGCGCGCTCCCTTGCTTCTCCACTCTCTCTCTCCTTCTCTCCCTCCCTCACACCCTTGCTACCTCGCACTCACACTCTCCTCCCCCTTACCTTCTCCCTCTTTCTTCCTTTCTCCCCTTTCTCCACAGGAAACCAGTCCGAGCTCCCACCTTCAGCACCCTCCCAGCCCAGCCCACTGTCGCTTATACCTACTCACTTCCCTGCACCAGCACCAGCAGCAGCATCAGCACCAGCATCAGAACCAGTGGCACCAGCACCAGCACCAGCACCACCAGCACCCGCGGCACCAGCACCGGCAGCACAAGAAGCCACGGAGATAGAAGAGCCTCTCTACTCCCCTTCCAACCTGCAGTCCCCTCGCCGGCCGTTTGATCCCTTCGCTGCGCCGCTCACCTGCCCCAGCACGCCCCGCAAGCCCAGGCTCTCTGGTGGGTCGGCGTTGGTGCACCTGCGGGCGATGGAAGCTGGGACACCAGGCAGGCGTGTCATGCGCCGCCTGCTCTTCGATTGATACACAGATACACTATACTGCTCTTCTTCCAGTAAAGCTCGGGCTCACCCTCTTCCGTTAACGCTCTTCCTCTGGTGGTCGCGCACTGATGCTGTTCCTTCCACTACTACCGTACCTTCCACTGCTGTCTTCCGCTACCGCTGATGACCTTCCCATTCCACTGACTTAACCTGACCTCATCCATTAAATGACAAGCCCGGGTGACTTCTGCTCATGTCAGGAAGTTGACTCACTGTGTGACACCCCATGACTCTCGCATACGCCCTCCACTGACCTGCAGCCGATACAAAGCTTCTCGTTCTGTTACCCCTGCTTCTGATTCTGACCTTTCCCTCCTGCCGGCTGCCCTCCCCTGCTGCTGCCCCAAGCGGTTTGCTGCCAAGACCCCATCATTCATACCCTCATCATATAACCCTATCCCGCACCACCAACACCTGATTTACTGGTAACACTCCCAGCAGCAGCGAGTACTGTGCAGTGCACTGTATCGCACCTCATTCCAAGCATGAGCAGCAGTGTCTGTGCCACAAGTCGCGGCTGTTGCTTGTTGCTTGCTGCTGCAGTGCACTATCCTGAGCTCCCCTCATGCAGTGCAGTGCACTATCCTGTCGGCTCTCTCATTTCAGCTTTTCAACCACCTGCTGCCTGCAGCAGCCCTAACAACCCACCTATCCAAGTAAACTCCTGATGAGTACCGTATATTCCTGACTGACAACTGGTACTATATCCCCCCCCTCTTTTTCTGCTCTGGTGCTTCTGTACATGCAGGGGAGGGGTTTGATGTGTAGGGTTGTTTTTCTCCTGGATGTACACTGCACTGTATATATATTAATAACGTAAGCTTCCAGAAAAAAACATTGTTGTTAGGATTGATGGGATGTCAAATGAATTTAGGATTTTTTTTCTCTTTTCTACGGTAGGTGTGAAAAACATGTGAAAAAAAAAACACATTTCCACAGCCCAGGTTATACAATTCAGCTACATCCTTCAGTCGCAACTGCAAATTCAACCATCCATCACTTAAAGCTCAAGGCCCAAATTGCGGATCGCGCTGGGCAAGTTTAGTATAGTTGATCGACAGTTGTATTGCAGGTGTTCTTTTTTGCGAATTGGGGTTACGAGCTGTACGAAGCCAGCTGAATGGCCAGTAAAGTGAGAACAGTGTTCTTGGAGCAAGAGGGGAGGCAAAGTTGCAAGTGTAATATCCGTGCAATATGGGACTCACACAACCAAACGCCTGTGGCCCCTAGGGTATGCTGGGTCAGCGAAAAAAAAAATGAGTGTGGCGAGAAGTTAGGCGAAACCAAAGCCCTCAACCCAACCAGCACCTCGACTTTCCTGTCCAGCTCCCTCACCACCCCCCAAAGCCCAACTTTAATAAAGTTGAACAATTTGGGCCTTGAGCTTTAAGAAATGAGGTCCATATCAGTATCAGAATTCATGGCCCCAAGCCGAATTTCCAACTAAACCTCCTCACTGCCATCATAACCACACACACTGCCTTTCTTCTGTCACCTTGTAAGGAATTTTCTCGCTATTCCTTACTGCGACCGTCAACACCGCGTACAGCAGCAGCCGTTGTTCGCCCGTTACTGCTAACGGGGCTTCGCCAACTTCGCGCGCACTGTTTCACCAAACCTCGCACTGCTGGAGCAGCCGAGTCGGCCTACGCTTCGGGACTAGCCCGAACCTCGCGCCAGCGTAGCACTAGCTAGCTCGCACGCACCGCGTTACCGTTGCATGTTTCGCTTATAAGTATTCGCTCATGCCTTCGCTCATACTTTGTACTCATTGAACACCTTAGTGCAATCCTCGCTACCTCGATTCATTGCACCCGTAACACTTGGTTATCAGAGCCACTTTCCTTTCGGACCGCGCATCTCCGCACCCCAGAAAATCAACTTTTGATTTCTTCGCTCGAAGGGACTCACGCCCCTTAGCACCTAGGAGCCGCTGTCCTCGCGTTCTCTCGTAAATGCGTGCAGCCACGACTGCGCCTAGACTAAGCTGAGCCGACGCCCTTTGCTACGGCTGAACATATCGACGTCACCACACTCACGCAGGACCGCCTGAACGAGCTGCTGCGACAACTGCACTGACGGCGGAACGCACATCCTTGCAGAATGACGTCGCACGAGCACAACAAGCGCAATCACAAGCACCTGGCACTCCGGTACAACCCGCACCACAAGCATCGCCATCACTGGCCGCACCGCGAGCGCGGCCAGTGATGGCGTCGTCCGGCACGACGGAGACGACGACCACGGCACGACACACCCCGAAGCGACGAATGCGGCCAGGAGTCAACCCCGCGTCACGATTTCTGTGCCGGCCGGCGAATCAACACTACCGTCGCCGATGCCGCTGAAGCCGCAACGTCCGCCATGTTTTGACCCGAGTCAACGGGGTGGTCCTACCGTGGTTGTTCACGTTGAACGTGTTTTTCGACGCCAACTACGTCTCGGAGGATACGGCGAAGATTCGCTACGCCGTGTCGCTGCTGCGAAGACCCGCCATGGACTGGTGGCGCGTCATCGTCACGAAGCCGATGGACTGCGCGACTCTACCGACACGGGAAGGACAAACCGGACCCTGGGCGCCGTCGTATTTCGTGGAGGTGCCCCAATATCGCACGTGGGACGCGTGGTGAGCAGGTCTGCGCGCTCGATTTGAGCCAATCGTGGCTTCGATCGCGGCGCCTCAGAAGCTCCGCACTTGGCGCCAAATCGGTTCCGTCCAAGACTACACCAGCGGGTTTCTGGCGTTGTGCGAGCAGGTGGGCTACATGCACGAATCTGAGCGTATTGACCGCTACATCGGCGTCCGGAAGCATGACATCGCTCAGGAAATCCAGCTTCGCGGCGTCACTGATTTTCAGGAGATTCTCGCCATGGCGGAGAAACTCGAACTTCTTCTGCCAACCGAGACCGGGGTCCTACGGAAGCAACAGCAACTGGGGACATCGATATCGTGGGACGAACGAGGGCGCTACGATACGTGCCGTCGCCGCGAATGCCGCTGCCGCACCGTTCAAAGGGCGCTGCTTCGCGTGCAATCGGCCGGGACACCGCAAGAGCGAATGCCCGGAAAATGCTAAGGGAAAGGGGGAAGCTGAGCAGCAGAAACAGACCAAGCAGCAGGGAAACGCTGGGAGTCAGTAGCAGACGAGCCCTCTACTAACAGGTCACGCCGCTCGCCCGACCCAACCGACCCTCACCGAGTGATTGTGCCGGTTCACGCAATCGACCACACCCGGCCGAATAAGGAGGGTACTACGGTGGACAGCCCCATACTGCTTAGTGGGAAAATTGGGACAGACTTAGTTAAAATATTCGTAGACGGGGGAGCCAGCCACAGCCTAATCAACACCGCCACAGCACGAAAACTGAGACTGCCACTGGACAGATGTTTACCTGAGATCGACGCAAGACTGGTTGACGGCACGCCACTGGCGATACGGGAACGCGTAGACCG